GAATATCTAGTTATAAGAACGAGGGAGTATGTATTATCGAAAAAAAAATGATTTAATTAAAAAAATATATGTATTATCGAAATAAAACAAGTAGATTTAATAAAAAATGATTTGAAATTGTTGTAGTAAATGGTTGTAAAGGTGGATACAACTCATATATATTGGATGGATTCAATTATTGAAATGGAAATTTTGGAAAAAGAATCTTCGGATGAAATTGAATTTTGAAACGTCTTTGTCTCCTCTAAATTTAAATATCTGACTCAACATGACCTGGCAACAAGTCACCACATTATTATTATTATTATTATTATTATTAGGTTAAATTATTTTTTAGTCCCGTAACTGGACCCCTTTATCTTTTTAGCCTCGTAAGTGGAGTCTGTCGCAAACTAGTCCCATAAGTGAAAGTTTTTCGTTGTTTTAATCATCCGGCGTCGGAGACGCTCGCGTGACTCGCCGGAGGTGACGTGTCCGTCAAGTGAGCGACACCTGGCGGACACGTGGGTTTACTTTTTTTTTTTTTCATTTTTTTTTAATTTTTTTTAATTGGATCAAATAAAAAAATAAAAATACAAATAAAATTAAAAATAATTTAAAAATAATTTAAAAAAAAAAAAAATCAACGTGTCCGCCAGGTCAGCGACACCTGGCGGTCACGTCACCTCCGACGAGCCACGCGGGCTTCTCCGGCGCCGGAGGACTAAAACAACGAAATTTTTTTACTTATGGGACTAGTTTACGCGGGACTAAAATGATAAAGGGGTCCAGTTACCGGACTAAAAAAAAATAGTTTACCCTTATTATTATTATTATTATTATTATTATTTAAAAAGAATTATATTGAATAGGACTGAATGAATACGCATTTCCAAAATGGGTACATTAATTATTGTATGTCCATCCACCCAAATTATGACAATTTAATTTTGTGGGTAAAAAGATAAATTAATGCATATCCGATGAAGTCTATTTAAAGAAATTATACTTAATTACTTAATAATAATAAGGTTAAATTGCATAAAATTTATCCGTGTTCATTAAATTGCACTAAATTTTTCATACTTTTAAAACTGTGTCAAACTTCATCGTGGTTTCATAAACTTTGCGTCTAACCCCCTCAGCAGTTTTTATTTAACGGTATTTGACCTAAATGTGTTCAAACTGCGAATAAATTAAAATTTTTATTTCTAAACCCCTAAAATTACAAATATATTTATTTTTTATATATTTAGCTTTAAAAATAGTAAAAATAAACTCTTAAAATTTGAAAAAAATAACTATATTTGAGTATGTTTACTATTTTTTTAGGATAAATATAATATATATATATATATTTGTAATTTTAGGGGTTTAGAAATTTAGATTCTAAAATTTATTCGCAGTTTTAGCGCATTTAGGTCAGATACCGTTAAATAAGGACCGCTTAGGGGGTTAGACGTAAAGTTTATGAAACCACGAGGGAGTTTGACGCAGTTTTAAAAGTACGAGAGACTTTGTGTAATTTCATGAAACCACATTAAGATTTTGTGCAATTTAGCCTAATAATAATAATAATTATAATAATAGTAATGCATTATGATATTATCTTATTTTTTTTTATATTATTGATGATATTGATAGTTTTAAAATAAATCTAATACTATATATAATTAAAAAATCTAAAATATATTTGTAAATATTTTAAAAATTATATCGCAATAAAAAAATATATATAGTATGTATATAATTTTGTAGAGAAAAAATCACATAAAAATATTTTTATTTATTTATAATTAATATAAACTAATTTTTATAAAAGAAACAAAATTTTAAATATAGAGAAAAATATTTATTTATTATAAGAAATATAAAAATAAAAATGTTTTGAGTGAATTGAATACTACATGATTTATGATATTATATGTTATATAATTAATTAAATTAATTTATGTTTTTTAAATATATTTTGATTTAGTAAATTTTATTAAAAATAAAAAAATATCAATTATTATTATATAAATAAAAATGAAAAAACAATATCAATTATCATGGGGAGGGAGCATGTAAATAGTAATAATAATAATAATAATAATAATAATAATAATAATAATAATAATAATAATTCCCCTCTCTCTCGTGAAGATACACACTCCCGTCGGGCCTGGTTTGCAGGGTATTAGGTTCGGCCAGAGGTTTACCCAATACCCATCTAAATAGTTTATTATTCTAAATTATTAATCTGTCCATCTCTTATTTGTGTTTATAAAAAATATCATCATATATTAATAGTATTATTGGTTTTTTCCTTTTTTTTAAAAAATAATATTAATAATTACTCTATTATAAATTCTGTCAAAACTTTTAAATAAGATCATCTTAGTTTTGATTAGATGTGAGCTCTGTTTGTTCACATATTTCGTTTGAAATTAATTTTCAATTTTTTTTCTCTAAATAATATCAAATCAAATATGTATTTATTTAATATATTGTTAATTTTAGTATAATAAATCGATGTAATTTGTTTAAATAATATTCGTATATTTTTTAAAATAAAAAGCGTAGCTAGAGGTAGATCTTCAGCAATCGAGTTTCACGAACATTGTTGAAAAAGAAGAATGACACATACACTTTTCGTCCCAAAAAAGACCTCCAACTAGCTTCATATTTTTATTATTTTTTTAATCAAATATATTTTTTAAAATTTCCGTGTAAGATTTAAATGTTCTAATTTGTACGGACAAAAACAAATATAATTTATGAAACTAACTAATATGGCGATAATATATATATTCTCCATCCGCCAAACAAACCCTCATTCGGGTTTTGATTTATATAAAAAAATAATATTTTCTATTAAATGATAAATTTTTATGAAATAATAAGATCCATGCATATATATATTATATTGCGAATGTATCGGAAAAAAGTCTATTGGAAAAACAGATCTAGTATTAATATATATTTTTTTATGTCTCAACTCAAAATATTATTTTTATATTTTTATTTGTGTCACTTAAAAATATTATTTTACTTTTAATAAAAATCATTATGCATTAATGCCAAAATACTTTTAATTTTTTTTAGAAAAATTACAAATATAATAATAGTACATATATATACAAAATCAAATGACAATTTAAATTCTCTTACACATTTTTATTAATCAATAAAATAAAAATATTACTTTTTAATTTACTACCAAAATTTAAAAAAGTACGTTGAAAAGTGGTGGAGGAAGTATATATATACATATAAAAGGCGGGTGCAGGTGAGACGGCTTCATTGTTATTTATGTTCTAATTTTTCCTAATTTTATATATATATATATACACACGGGTGTATTTAAAAATATATTATTTTATTTTTAAAATACAATCGCATTTAATATACACGACTGTGTTGAAGTCAACATGAAAAAAATATATATATAATTATCATATATTTAACACACAAGTGTTTTATATCTAATAAATTCGTAAGCTATTGTATCCCTTTTTTTATCCTTCCAAAATCATAGGTAGCCTGGGAAGACCAAGGCATTTTGTGTTTTGGTAGTGTGGATGGGGAGGGGATCCTCAGCATCATTTTCTCCCTGCCCAATCTGCTTCATACATATTCATGTATAGATACATGGGTGTATATGTATTTATATATGTGTGTGTAACGATGTTGAGAGTAAGGCAGAGAGTAGATGATACTGAGGATCCCCTCTCCTGTGGGTGTGTTTTCTAATTCCAAAATTTTTAATTTTTTACTATTTGATTTGTGGGTTTTCGAACACAAATATCCTATCAAATATTATTTAATACTTTCCTCGTTCTAAATAAAATGAATCGTACAGAAATTTAAGTAAAGTATAATTAGTAAATAATTAAGAAGTGTATTAGTAAAAATAATAATTATTTAGTAAAAATAATTATATATTAAGATTAAAATAATTAAATAGTTTAATTAAAATTAAAAAAATTTAAATTTTAAATTTTAAAATATAATTAAAATGTATAATCAATTTTCTAATAAGAAATTAAATTACTTGGAATGGACAAAAATAAAAATAAAAAAAATTAGGCAAAATAGAAAAAAAATCCCTATGGTTTTTCGAAATTGCTGAAAAGCCCCCGTGATTCTAAAAATCTAAAAGAACCCCTTGTGGAATTTTAAAACCACGAGAAATTTTCAGCGAATTCTTAATATCACAGAGGAATTTTTTGCTATTTTACCTATAATTATGTTGGATAGAAAGAATATCAAATTCAAATCAATTTTTTTTTTTTTTTTTTTTGGAACACCGTCTAACCCGTGTGTGCTCTAACGCCCCGTCAGCCTAACAGGCGTAGAAGGGTCTTGAAGGGACGGGACCACCATAATCTTGTTTGGCAGGTGCAGCTGTACCCAACATTTCTTCAATTATTAATTACCCGAACAATGCCCTCGACACTACATAATGATTTGAAATCCATATTTGGTTGAATTTTAGATAGTAATATTTTAAATATAAGATTAATTTTTAATATAATATGAAAAATAAAAATTATATTTAAAAAATAGAAAATAGTAAAAATTTTGAAGAAATATTTAACATTAATCACAATATTAGAATTTTGTTTTGATTCTTATTATTCAATATTTCGGAAGAATTTGCTGAATTCTCCAATAGGCACAAGTAAAATATGGAGATAATACATGTGACAATATAAATATATATATATATTTTAATAATTATTATCAATATAGTGTATTTGTTTGAAGAATTTTGGTGGATTTTTACTATTTACACGAATTTTTTTTTCAAAAATATAAAATCAAACATCTATTTTTTATTTTTTACATTCAAAATATCACGTCAATCCATATTTATATCACATTATACAACGATTTCAATTCAAATTTTTTATTGTCCAAATTTCAACCCAAAATTCAAATCCCCAAACAAACACAGCCTTAACCAGCGCTTTCTAAACTACATCCAAAAGCGGATATATACATACATACATATATATATATATATATAGGACCCAATCTTCTTCTTTCCAACGCCACCGCAGCAGCAGAAATCGATCATTCAATAATTAAATTAAATTAATAATTAGGGCAAAGCTCTGTCTGCAGTGACTGCCAGTTCGATAATCAGATAAAAAATGGGCTTCTTCGAACAGCAGATTCCGACGACAGCGATGATCGGATGCCAGATTCTGTATTCGGCGGTGGCACTTTCCGGCAGAGCCGTACTTCTCGACGGCCTCAGTTCCAAGGTTTTTGTCGTCTACAGACAGTGCTTTGCCTTCTTCCTCATTGCCCCCCTTGCCTTCTTCTCCAGGTAATTAATTTCTTGCACACAAAACCCTAATTTATTATAAATTGGATAAATTATACAACATCTTATGAATATTTTAAATAATTTTGTTGAATAAAATAAAATAAATAAATAATTAATCAATTATTTATTTTTATAATTTTTATAAAAAATCAGATAACAATTTGTCTCCAAAATAGTATAAAATGAAGCATTAATCAATTGTTTATTTATTTATTTTATTCAAAAAAAATTATTTAAAATATTTTTATTTGTATAAATTAAGTCTTTATTTAGAATTAAATATCAATGTTGGACAATGAAGATGATTCGCCCAAATTTTACAATAACGCAATAAATATAACATAAAGTATTCTGTATATTTTTAGTAAAACACAAGGGTGTTATATAATTTACCCTTATTAATTTGAATTTCAAGATTTGATTTTTATTTTTGACTAAATTGCACAAAACCTATTTGATAGTTTCGTAAAATTGTGCTAAATCCCTTTAAAACTTGAGTCAAACTCGCTCGTGGTTTCTTAAATTGACATGCACCCAAATTGCGAATAAATTTTAAAGTCTCAATTTCTAAATCCCTAAAATTACAAATATATTTATTTTTCTTATATTTAACCTAAACAATAGTAAATAGACTAAAAAATAATTATTTTTCTTAAATTTTAAGAGTTTATTTTACTGTTTTTTTAGAAAAAAATAAATATATTTATAATTTTAGGAATTTAGAAATTGAAATTCTAAAATTTATTCTCAATTTAGGCGCATTTATTTCAAATACAAGAAACCACAAAAGAAAAGGAATTTAATTTCGTAAAACACACAGGTGTATTTTGTGTGATTTAATTTTTATTCTTTTATTTTTGCAGGAGAGAGAAAAAGGAATGTGGTTTGGGGTGGAGAAGCTTGGGGATGATATCATTGCTGTCGTTTATTGGGCAAGTTATAACAACATAACCAAGAAACAAAGAAAGAAAGAAAGAAAGAAAAAAATATTTTAAATTACAAAATCCGAAGACCACAAATGTAATAGAACTGACATCTTCTCTTTTTTTTTTTTTTTTAATTTTTTTAATTAATTCTTGCAGAGAAGGGAGGAAGAAAACTATTTTATTTTATTTTATTTTATTTTAATTATAATAATTTAATTTTGTGTTGATAATTGGATTTATTATAATAAAATTAATGTGCAGTGTGACAGTGAATCAGAATATGTATTATTCGGGGCTGTATTTGGCGACTTCTTCTGCTGCCAGTTCCATCACCAATCTTGTGCCTGCTCTCACCTTCATCCTTGCCTACACTTTTGGGTAATTATAAATATCTAAATTTATTTATTTCACAATTATTTTTATATTTTTGTTATTTAAATTTTTATAATTTTATAAATTATTACTCATCCAGCTCCACATAATTTGTTTATATTTTTATTTTAGTTCGTCCCATATAATTTGTCATTTTTTTTTAAATATAATTATACACTTTAATCCTATTTTAAATTTTATAATTTTTAAAATTTTAATTAAACTATTAGTTATCTTAATCTTGTACAATAATTATTTTTACTAATACACTTCTTAATTACTTATTACTTTAGCTAAATTCTCGCGTCTAAAGTAATATAGCCGTAAGGAGTAGGGATGTCAACAGGGCGGGTTCAGGACGGTTTCTGCAGGCTCCGAGACCCGAGACCCGTCCCGCTAGAAAATATTAGGCTCCGAGACCCGCCCCACCCCGCTTCCGCCCGGCCCCAGACCCGTTTTTAAAAAAAATATATAATAATAAATATTTTTTTAACAATCAAATGCTAAAACAAATAGCATTAAAAGCACAAAAAAAATCTAAAAATAATCAAATATTGATCCATAAAAATAAGATAAATAAATAAATAATATATTTTTATTATATAAATATACATATATTAGGTATAATAATTTTAAAAAATTATTTGGAGCAGACGACTAATTGAATTTTATATTTAAAATTATTTAAGAAAATAAATAATATATTTTTATAATATAAATGTACATATATATTAGTTATAATAATTTTAAAAAATATTTGGATCCGGGTTGGGGTTGCGGCGGGTTTTTAGTAAAACCCGTAACCTGCCCCGAACCCGACCGGGTTTAAAATTTTAAATTCATAACCCGTCTCGAAACATATTATTTAGATCCAAACCCACCTCATTAAGAGTGGATCCGGCGCTAACCCGCCCCATTTGCACTATGCAAACGGTATACATTTTTAAATTAAATCATCTTTTTTCTTTTTAATAAATATATATATATATATATGATATTTTTATTTTTTGATAAAATTATTTATGTTTAATAACACTCATATATATTGTTGAGATATAATTTTAAAATATTTCAACAAATCTATATAAGCATATCTCGTTATTAAATTAATATTTATAATATACTCCAAAATCAAAGGTTTGTGTGTCTCTATCGGTTTGGATTGAGATGATTTGATTTAAATTGTATATTTAATATAATATTTTTGCTAAAATAATACTTTAGTTTTTGGAAAATATAATAAAGTTTGGAAATAAATAAATAGCCATAAGTAGCTTTAAAAAGTAAATAAATAAATCATATGCCCAACATGTCAAACAAACCCACCTTAATCTTAGGGTTTATTTGAATTTGGATTTCAATGATATTTTATATTTTATATTTTTGTAATATATATATTTTTATATAAAAATTGAAATATAACATATAAAAAAAATTTATATGTTAGGAATTGAATTTGAAGTTTGAAAACAATTTACTTTTAAATTTAAATAAAGTTACAATGGGACATAAATAAATATTCTTTTGGTTTGCCAAACTTATTTATGTTAAATTTATTATATTATTAATTTTGTCAAAGTCAATAAATCAAAATTAAATTAGTACACTTTATTCAATAGTTATTTACAATAAATGTCATTATTTTTCGTTACATTCTTCCTTCGTTTGTTTTAATTTCTAAACATTTGTTTTAATTTCTAATTAAATTTTTAAGAATATTTATTTTTATTATTTATGCCAAATTCAAATAGATAATTTTAGTGGACGGAGGAATAACTATTTTATATAAATTATTATTATTATTATTATTTTTGATGATTTGTATACGTTGTACAGATTAGAAAAGGTGAATTGGAGAAGCGTACGAAGCGGTGCAAAGGTGGTCGGAACGGTGTTGTGCGTGGGCGGCGCCGCCGCAATGGCGCTGCTCAAAGGCCCAAAACTGCTCAACACAACAAACAATTTTTTATTATTATTAAGTGGGCCCGAGGACACGTGGCTGCTCGGCTGTTCCTTCTTATTTGGAAGTGCTTTCTGTTGGTCACTTTGGCTCATATTACAGGCAAGAATATATTATTATTATTATTATTATTATTATTATTATTATGTTGAATTGTATAAAATTCATATGTGATTTTTTAAAATTGCGTATAATTTTTTATATTTTTATTATTGCGTCAAATTTTTTTATAATTTTATAAACTCTTGTGCTTTACCCATCAATCGTTCTTATTTAACAATTTTAACAATGTGCACTCAAAATGCGAATAAATTTTAAAATTTTTATTTTTAAATATTTAAAATTATAAATATACTAATTATTTTTGTTATTTAACCTAAATAAAAGTAAATATATCATAAATAGTTGCTTATATCTAGTTTTAAAAGTTATTTTTAATATTCTTTGAAGTTAAAAATAAGATAAATGAATACATTTTAAATTTTAGAAATTTAGAAATTAATATTTAAAATTTATTCGCACTTTAAGCGCGTGCCGTTAAATAAGAACAACTAAGGAATTTAGATGTAGAATTTATAAAACTATAAAAAAAATTTGACATAATTTTAAAAATATAAAGAATTTTGTGCAATTTTTATAAAATTGCATATAAATTTTGTGTAATTCAACTTTATTATTATTTTTATTAATTTTGATAATTTATTTAAGTTGTAAAAGAAAATAAAGAAGCAAAATTAAGTGTGGATATTGGGACAAGTGCAGGCTCATGTAAGTGGTTGGTACCCAGATCATCTGGCATTGACGGCGTGGATGTGTTTGATCGCAGCCGTTCAATCTGCGATCTGGACGGTCCTGGTTGAGCCTGATCTGAGTGTTTGGAAGCTCACTTCTCCCTTCCAACTCTTTTCCTGCTTCTTTGCAGTAAGTATTACTAGTATTTATTTTATTTTATTATATTTATTAAAAATGAATAATTAATTAATTAATAGTATTTGTTACGTAGGGATTGACGTCAGCAGTGACGTTCTTTGGTCAAGCGTGGTGCACTTCAAGAAGAGGGCCTCTGTTTGCTGCACTGTTCAATCCTCTTTGCACTGTTATTGTCACAATTATTGCCTCCATTTTTATGCACGAAGAGCTCTACTCGGGAGGGTACGTACACTTCCTCTATTTTTCATATTATATAATAATAATAATAATAATAATAAATAATATTATTATTTATATATATATAATTTTTAATCAAAATTGTCTAGCGGAATTGAATTGTTTTTTTTTTTTGTCTATTAAAAAAAGGTGTTGAAAAAATGATTTGAATTCAACTAATTAAATATTTATCACTCAGCCTTAAAAAAATAATTTTATTTTTACTTTTATTTTTAGTAACAAGCTCTCACATTTTTACAAAATTATCCCTATTTTTTCAAAATACTTACATATATAAGGTTATTTTGATCTTTCAAAAATATTTTTGCATCAACATTTTTGCATTAATTATCAATATAATACTTTTAAAAAGTATTTTAATGTTGTAAATGTGTAATATTACTTGCAAAAGAATAGATAAAACAATAGATACAAAACATAAATTTCTATTCCATTTATATAAATATTTTTAGATTTTTGCGGATTTGAAAATTTTTACAATGATAAAAAGATTGAATATTTAGTACGATATTTTGTAAGAGAAATTAAAATAAATATTTGATATGATATATATTTTAAAAATTATTGTTATAATTAAATAATGTCAAAACTTTCAAAATATGTACATTAGTATTACTTAATGTGCCATTTTAATGAAAAATCAATACTACTTTTATACTCCCTCCGTCCACAAAAAAATATACAATTACTTTTGTCGTTTAAGAAATAATAGTATTTTAATTATAGTGGGTAGTTAAAAGTAGTGTAATGACATTTTTGCCTTTGTTTTTTTGGTGTAAAAGTAATGATGTGATGTAAAGCAGAGGTATTTGTGCAAAAAAGTAAGGTATTTAACGAAATGTTTACTTTGTAATTGAACGTCCCAAAATAGAAACATGTATACTTTATAACTGGACGGAGCGAGTAATAAACAACTTTATTTATTCACAATTTTATTAATTATTATTTAACAAATAATAATCAATTTATTACTATATTTTCAATTAATTCATTACTTCTTATTAACTCTGCAATAATTTTTTCATAATATTTCACTTTTTATTCAGTTATAGCGATATAAAAAATTTAGACAGAAAAAGTATTTCATATAATATATTAAATAAAAAAGTACACATATATATCATATATATATGAACATTTGATAATTTTAGGCAGAAAATATTGATGAATAGTTTATGTATGTATATAGGTTGATGGGTGGATTGGTTGTGATACTTGGGCTGTACATTGTGCTCTGGGGCAAAGCTAAAGAGAATACGGCTACGGACGGAGAAGAGGATGACATTGCCCAATTGAAGAGTGATGAAACCGATATTTTGGAATACGCTGTTACGATCGATTTAGAAGAGCCATTTTTGTCTGAAAAAATTTCAGAAAAATTCGAGGAGTGAAAGAAAGTAAATGAAAAAAGTGAATGATGGATCAAATTCATTCTTTCACCAAATTAGTGTAGTTGGTCTTAATTGAGTTTTGGGGATGTCATATTTATCTATGTATATATTATTTTTAAGTTATATAATATATATATATATATATATATATTAGGTATGTATGGTTAATTTATGGAAATGATAATTCTAAGTATATAGATAGGCATTGACTATATTGTTGAATTTAAAATTCAGCACTGTGTTGACAAGTACATTGATGATTTAGGTAAAGCAAAAACGAAGAGTTTTCAATATATTGAATGATTAGTGAAATGAGGTACAGACTTAGAGTGTGTATATATACAAAGACAAAACAGAGAGACAAAATAGAAACGGACTAATTGCCTAGCACAAGAAAATGAGCCATATTAAACTTAATTAAATGGCCTAAAAAAATGATGAACTAATGGCCCAAATGAGAGTTGTCTTCAACCTTCGATGGCTGCATCTTTTCTGCAACGATATTCTCTGTAAGTAGCTTTTCACCCCCACCCCTCACGCCAAGCGTGTCATTGCACAGCTTGGAGCGAAACCGGAGAAAAGTCAGACCGGGAAGAGGTTTCGTGAGAATGTCGGCTAACTGATCACCACTGCGCGTATAGACAGGAACAAGGAATTTTTTGTCATAATGATGATGGATGAAATGACAAGCAATGTCGATATGTTTGGTCCGTTCATGAAACACGTAATTCTCAGTAATGTGAATAGCAACCTGGTTGTCACAATAAAGTGGAATGGGGTTGTGAAACTCAAGCTTCAAGGCATAAAAAATATAAGAGAGCCACACAAGCTCACTCGTACACGAGCTCATGCTCCGGTAGTCGAATTTTGCGTAAGAGATGCTAATAGTAGGTTATTTCCTGATTTTCCAAGAAATGAGATTGTTGCCAACAAAGATACAATAGCCGGAGATAGATTTCCTGGCTTTCCAATAAAATGAGATTGTTGACAGAACCTTTAAGGTAGCATAGAACATGCAGAGCAGCCTTCAAGTGGCAAGAAGTGGGATGTGACATGAACCGTCTTAGTTTATGTGTTGCAAAGGTGAGATCAGGGCGAAAGAAGTTAAGATATAACAAACGGTCAATAAGACGTCTGTAAGAGGCAGGATCAGCCAAAGGATCACCATCAGAAGCGGATAATTTGATCCCAGGTGGCAAAGGGGTGGTAGTAACTGAAGCAGATATATCTTTGCTAAGATAATATCAAACCAGAATCAGAATGAGACTGCTTAATCTCAATATCCAAGAAGAAATTGGCGTCACCGAGATCATTGAGATAGTTCTTGACTTCACCAATTAAGCTCACCGAGATCTGTATACCCATTTGTATCCTATGGCCTTTTTGTCTTTGGGCTTTGCAACTACATCTCATGTATGATTCTTCTCAAGAGCATCAAGCTCCTCTTTCATAGAATGAGAATCAGATGCGTCTTCTAGATAAGATGTTGGCTCATCATCATTGTTAGTACAATGACAAACATAGTCTTGAAGCCGACCAGGTTTTCTAACCTCTCTATGAGGTCGTGCAGAAGGTGTCACAGATGAGGATTCAGTTGCAGTATCAGAAGAAGAAGAATTGCAGGATGGAGAATAATGAGCAATTTGATGAACACAACAAAGACATTCAAGACTTGAGATTTTAATGGCAACAAGAAGATCCAGGTATTTCTACTGTAGTCATCGAAAATAGTTAAGAAATTGGATGATGAATCCCAGTCCAAGAATAAAAAGAAGATGGAGGTCCGAAAGATAACTCTAGAACCAGGTTAGAGATTAAGTATTTTTGGTGATTACATATGGCATAACAACCAAAAAGTTGTTATAATAGATTGAGGTGTATATTCTTCTGTTGGAAGAGTTAGTTAGACTTCTGTATTTATATTCTCCTACGACTTAAGAATATATTTTTAGTTTTTTTTTGCTTTGTTTCTCTTCTTCATGGTGCTGCTGCCCTGTTTATTTCCTTTAAGCTAAATTTCTTCAAGTAATCATACTTGCCCACAATATTACCGGTAAGTGCAATTGATGTAAATATCAAATGTTACACTATTAAGAGCATTTTAGTAAAGATATATATCCATTATATATATATATATATGTGTGTGTGTGATCACATGATATACAGTCAGCTCCAATGCAAGCACAACTCTACAATCATCACTCGATGTTTCGCAGGTTTTTCCAATCCCACCTTAATTTATATATATATATATATATATATTATATAGCTGTCTGTCGAGTGTCGATCCTGTATATAAATTAATTAGAGTACAATAATTGAAATCACTACACAATTAATATTCAATTACATTCTAAAATCCCACCAATTTGAACCCTACACCTATCCCTTCAATATTCAACCATGGTTCCTTAATTCATGGGCACCTCATGTCCCAATGATTCAATAAATTACTACACCACACATATCCCCAATCATTAAACATACGATCGAATTCGGTCCGAGGAATGCAAATATAAATACAGGACGTACTATGGCTGCTGCATCAACAGGCCAGAGAATATATATAACAAAACCAGCTTTTGTAAAAGAATTGAAATGGGTTTCGAAGATAAGATTCCGACGATAGCGATGATCGGATGCCAGATTCTGTATTCGGCGGTGGCACTTTCCGGCAGAGCCGTACTTCTCGACGGCCTCAGTTCCAAGGTTTTTGTTGTTTACAGACAGTGCTTTGCCTTCTTCCTCATTGCCCCCCTTGCCTTCTTCTCTAGGTATTATTTAGTTCTTCATTATATTGGACAGCATTTTGATAAGAAAACCCTAATTTTTATTTCAAGAGAACATTTGTGCTTTTTGATCCTATAAGAGTGACTCTTGTTTTTTTTTTTTTTTTTTTTTTTTTTTTTTTTTATTGCATTTTATTTAGTACTTTTTTTGTATCATTTTAGTACACAAAATTAAGGGATCAATAGATATATTTTTAGTTCCAACTGTGGCACAAATTTTTGTCCTTTTTATCTTTCTCTACTAAAGCATATATATTAGTCTTATATTTAATTAATAATTGTTGAAACTGTTATCTCTTAGTAGAACTTTGCCATATGTGCTAACATGATACAAGTAGGCCACATATCATTTCTTATATCAAATTTCAATGTAGCTTTAATTTCGTATATTTATTACAAATATATACTTATTATTTATTTCAAATTTTAAATTTACATCAATATTTTGTGGAAAATTATTAATATGCCGCAAGTCTATGTCAGTTTCGTAGTGTCATACACGTGTGGTAAGATTTTAGTACTCCCTCCGTCCCACATATCATATCCACATTGCCGTTTCTGCCCGTCCACGTCTCATATCACTTTCCTTTTTAGAAAATAATTACAGACTTTAATATCATTTTAAATTTTCTAATTAATTTTTTTTAATTTTAATTAAACTAATTAGTTATCTTAATCTTAATTTATAATTATATTTACTAATAAATTTTTAATGATCTACTAATTATACTTATCATAGATTTTGATATCTACAGTAACATGGACTTCCTATGTGGAAACAAATGGGGTATTATATAACAACTTTAAGAAGTAAAGATTATAAGACTATTTCCATACAAACTTTATTGAAAAACAACTACAATGATCATAAAGAATATATATGCTATGTACAGACTAAAGAAACATTTAATAATAATAATGGAGATTCTATGGTTGCTAATGAGGTACATATACGCATTCACTACAAGAAAAAATCAGTTTAATAACAAAATTCCGTTACTAATGACATTAGAAACGGAATTATGAATGGAATTGCGTTAGCTACGTGAACTTTAGGGATGGAATTCTGTTACAAATATATTATTTTTTTTAGTGATTTTGACGGTTTGATATTTTTATATTAACTTGTTTGGAAATTATGCAAATTGCAATTCAACCCGAATTTAATATTTTTATTATATATACATATATATTTCTTATAAGTTGAATATCTGTCTGGAAATAATCTTATATATATTATTTTCGATCGAAAGTTTAGTCTTTTCGTGCCCAAAATTGGTTAGGGTGATCAGATTGACGTGCCATAGGAGCACATAAATACTTATAACATATCTCTATGATCATATGCTTGTAATTGGCCATTACATAAAAACAGCTACTATGAATAAGATAGGAGATATTTTAAGAAAAAACACAAATAAAATATTAAAATGATGGTTCTAGTTACTAGACAAAAACAATATACTACCTTATTTCAAGATTTTATTTTATTATTATCATTTTTTTTTTGTTTCAATTTTTATTTATTAATTAAATTATTGTTTCTGTTGCTGTCCTTGATTTGGTGCAGGAGAGGGAAAAGGGAATATGGTTTAGGATGGAAAAGCTTCGGAATGATATCTTTGCTATCGTTTATTGGGCAAGTTACAACAACATATATATATATATATTACTACAAAAAAAATAGTATATTTGTAACGGAATTTCGTCCCTAAAGATCACGTAGCTAACTTAATTCCATCATTAATTCCGTCTCTAATATCTTTAATAACGGAAAAAATAGATTTAAAGATAAAAAAATTTCGTTACAAAAATGATATTTTCTTATAGTGTATATATATATAATAAATGAAGAAGGAACAAAACAAAACTGATCGAAGCACAAAATAAATAAATAAAAATTAAACAAAGATTAAAAATGGTATCTTTACATACACACTACAAAAAAATTAATATATTTGTAACGGAATTCAGTCCCTAAAGTTCACGTAGCTAACGTAATTCCGTTCCTAATTCCGTCTCTAATGTCATTAGTAACGGAAAAAGTAGATATAGAGACAAAAAAATTTTGTTACAAAAATGATTTTTTCTTGTAGTGACTACAAAAAAATAATATATTTGTAACGGAATTCCGTCCCTAAAGTTCACGTAGCTAACGTAATTCCATTCCTAATTCTGTCTCTAATGTCGTTAGTAACGAAAAAAATAGATTTACAGACAAAAACATTTTGTTACAAAAATAATTTGTTCTTCTAGTGACAGTGAAGAAACAATATGCTAAAACACATTCAAAATAATCTCAAGATATAAATGTAAAAGAGCTGACATTACATATATAAATGTAAAAGAGCTGACATTATATATGTAATTTAATCTTCTTCAAAATAAATAATTTAATTAATTAAGTAGAAATAATTAATACTATTAGGTTTTGATATATATATATATATTATATATATGCAGAGTGACAGTAAACCAAAACATGTATTATGAAGGATTACAGTTGGGCACATCTTCTGCTGCAAGTTCAATAACCAATTTGGTGCCTGCCATCACTTTCATCATGGCTTATACTTTTGGGTATTTACGTTTTTTTTTTTTTTTTAATTATTTAAATAAAATCTTGATTATATACATGGTATTTCTTATTATTTTTAGTATTTTAATGAGATCCAGTCCAAAAATAATCATGTATCTCACTTATCTTTACATAATTTCTCATTATTTCATGTGTTATATATACTCATGATATTGACATGTATGTGCTATGAGTAAGTATTCTACTTAGGTTAGAACTTTTAAAATGACAACGAGTGAAATATGTGTGTTTATTTGATTTTGGGATTTGGTTTTGAATAGTAAAATTCTAAATTGTAATAATTATTTGATGTGATATAAATATGTATTGATGTGATGTTTTGAATGTAAAATAAAATTTTAGTATAATATAATAAATAAATAAATAATAGGTATTTGATTCGATAGGAAGGTGTTTGATTCGATAGGAAAAAAAAAAGTTGAAATAGAAAAATTATGTAAAAACACCCGCAAGTAAACAGACGAATATCATTTTAAAACATGATTTAATTAAAGAAAAAATGGTAAACGATCATTTTATTTTATTTTATTTTTTTCACAACAAAGATATTAGTTACCCATAACAATTTTATTCTCATGTTCATTTTCCATCCATGCACGTGTTGAATTAATTTATTTTTCTTTCTTCCACACTTTATTTATACCCCAAATTGTTGTTCAACTTCTGCCTTTGTTGGTTATAAAGAGAAGAAATGGAACAAGATTGAATACAAGAATGAAAATCTTTTGATTTGATTATTGGGGTTTGCTTTTGTATTTTTGTTTGAATATAATATTTTGTGAGAAAACTATAATAGAAAATCACGATGATCGCACGCTGGGAAAAATAAATGAAACAAAACAATTGAAACCAGACTCCAGGGTGTGTTTGTTTTAGGAGATAATTTGAATGAGTATATTTTTACGTAAGATATGAAAAAATGTATAGAGAATATAAAATATTGAATGTGTGTGATATATTAATATTTTTGAAAAAAAAAATGTATATGTATTTTTTATTAAAAGAACACATGCTTGATAGAACTGCCAAATTATTCTCAAAACTCTTTGCACTTTATCACACACACTTGCTTTGATACCACTTTCATTTTTACCCACTAGGTTGTGAAAATAAGAACATTATATATAGTGTCAAACGAACCTATTTAGGCGTCGTATTTTCTTTGAAATTTAGAATTAAATATGTTTTTGGTATAGAAAAATGATAGATAGTGAAATGAAGATGTCTTCATTTTCCTTATTTCTTGGAGACAGATAATTAAGATTTGAAAATTAAAAAATTTCTCATTTTTTGATATCATTTTATCTTTTATATATAGAGAAATTGAAAGAAATAAAAAGTGAGAAATATTGAATTTGTTCATTTAATATTTTGCTTTTACCTTTTAATATTTATGATTTTTTTTATAAAAATATATTATTTTATTTTACAAAATATTGCATTAAAACGAGCATTCAAGTAATTTAAAAAAAAATAAAATGATTGTCAATTAAATACGCCAATATTTATTCGTTAATCTCAATTCTATTGAAACTCTATTAGATTAATCATTTCTCTTTATCAATCATCTTGCAATATATATTGTTTTATCTCTCAAATATATGATTCTACAATTTATTTCTCAATTGAATTATTTACTTTTATCAAATAAAAAATCAGTTATTCTACTTGAATTCATTATCTATAATTCTTTTTTTTTACTATTTTTTTTTCTTAATTTTATTCTCTATACCGAACGGCTTCTAATAATTGTTCAGCCACTCAATTAAGTTCCTCCCTCTCTCTCTAGGTTAGAAGAAGTGAATTGGAGAAGCTTAAGAAGTGGTGCAAAGGTAGTGGGAACAATAGTGTGTGTATGTGGTGCAGCTGCAATGGCTCTGCTCAAAGGTCCAAAGCTACTGATCAACCCTACAATAACTAATCTGTCATTACATCCAAAACATAATTTATTTCTACTTAGCTATGGACAAGAAGACACATGGCTGCTGGGCTGTTCATATTTGTTTGGAAGCACCTTTTGTTGGTCTCTTTGGCTAATTCTCCAGGTCTCTCTCGCTCTCTCTCATGATCTAATCTTTCATGCAATAAATTGTGTGTGTGTGTGACAATTAATTAATTCTGGTAATATAAATTAGAAATTATGACTATGAACTTTGTTGTGTTTCTTGTTTTTGTGGGGATTGGGCAAATACAGGTTCATTTGAGTGCTTCCTATTCAGATCACATTGCATCGACGGCGTGGATTTGCTTGATCGCAGCCGTGCAATCTGCGATCTGGACATTCATGGTCGAGCCAGATATGAATGTTTGGAAACTCACTTCCTCTTTCCAACTATTTTCTTGCTTCTTTGCTGTGAGTATTACAAACCCTAAACTTCTCTCCATTGTTGCATTATATATACATATATATATACTCTTTTTGTCCTAATTCAACGAACTTTTTTACTATTTTGTCCGTCCCATTCAAAAGTACCCATTTTCATTTTTAGTAAAAGTAATTATACACTAATATCAAAATACCATTAACTTTTATCTAAATACAAACATACCAATACGCATACAATTATTTTATATAAAAAATCAGAGTGCAAAATGTAAAATTTCTTACACATTTCCAATAACTTTTAAAATACTACTGCCTCCGTCCCGTTGGAAAGGTGGCGTTTGCTTTTTGCACGTAGAATTTTGAATATTAGTATTATATTAGATTGTAGTAAAAAAGACAAAAATACTCCTATTAGTATGGTGTAATATAAAAGTAATGACATCTGTGTAATATATTGTAAGTTGAAAGGGTATTTATTATGTGAAATAAGCAGTACATTTACTAAATTAGGAAATTGTAACCTTGTTTTGGGACGGACGAAAATGAAAAATGGTAACCTTTCAATAGGATGTAAGGAGTATTATTTTTTAATCTACTACAAAACTCTAAATGCCCTCTTTCAAAGGGACGGACGGATGCACACTCCAATTTCCGTACTTGATCAAATCAATATGGTTTAGCACAAAAATGTAAAAGGCAGTATACAAATAAATATATATGGTAATACAATAAACAACACATGTCCTAACAACTTACATTGAAAAAGTAACAACTGTATTCATATGCTTATGACAAATTATCACTTTTATATCTTGTATGTTTCATTTTTTTATCAGAATATTTTGTATGTTTCATTAGTTATATATGCTTGAATTCTAATGTGTGAATTCATCGACCAAATAATATAAAGAGCGACTTTCTTGAAAAGTATAAGACCAACATAGATCAAAATGATATAAAGATCGACTTTTTTGAAAATTATAGAACGAACATACAATGATACAATGTTTATGATTTAAGTGACAATATGCTATATGTGCATGACTAAATTTGTAATCTTCTCCAATAAAATCCTACCTATTTTCATTTTTATTTTTCAATTAAGCTTGAGATGTTTAACATGAAAATATTTACTAGAGGGTGATTCTTTTGCATCTCGTGTTTGGAAACAATAAAATTAAATAAATAGTTGAAACAATTACTTTTTCCATTTACAAAATTTATATTTTTTTCCTTTTTTCCGTTTACAAAATATATGCACTTATATATCTATATATATATATATAAACTCTTGTATACTTTTAATTTATATAATTGAATCTTATACTTATTTACAAATTTTTCACAATCATAATATATTTTTACACATCTAATTATTGAAAGAAAAAAAAAACATTATTCTCATAAATAATCAATTTACTTTTTAATGTATTTTTACATTATATTACAATCAATTAATATAATATTATATTTATTATTAAACTTCTGCTCAGCTATTATTACTATACTTTTGATAGATATATAGAGAGTACAATAAAACCTTTCATTATATAATACACAAAATTTCAACTCTTTGATTACTTATATTTTCAATTTTTTTTGTACTATTTATTGACACAATAATATATATTCTTAAAAATATCATATTAAAAATCTATTTTTATTTTAATATTACATTAGAAACATACTCTCTCTTCAAAATAACACCAAAATAACACGACTATTCAAATTTCAATTTTTTCTAAATCGAAATCCAAATTTTAAAGATATTTTGAAAACACATGCATTTCTTGTTTCGTCTAGGGTTTGGCTTCAGCAGCAACATTGTATGGCCAAGCATGGTGCACCACAAGAAGAGGACCTCTCTTTGCTGCATTGTTCAATCCACTCTCTACTCTCATTGTCACCACTATTGCCTGCATTTTTATGCAAGAACAGCTCTATTTTGGAGGGTACGTACTTTATTACATTTATCTTTCTCGTCTTTCTCTTGCATTTCTATATGCATCTATACATATGTATTTATATGTCGAAAAAGGTCTTGAACATAATAAAAACACAACTTTATTCAAAGGCAAAAGAACATCTAATCGAACCTTAAAAAAAAAAAATACTTAGGCTTGCTTCTACAATTATTTAGATTGTAAAAGTTTTGCGTGTTGTGCTTATTAAATACATATAAGTGTGTTTGTTTGGGGTTTTGAATTTTGAGTTGTGATTTGAATAGTAAAAATTTTGAATTTGAATAGTTGTATGATGTGATATAAATAAGTGTTGATGTGATGTTTTGAATGTAAAATTGATTTTTACTATAATATAAAAAATAAAAAATAGGTGTTTTATTTGATGTTTTTGAGAGAAAAAAATAAAATGAATAGTGAATTTAAAATCCAATCCCCAAACAAACACACCTTAGGGATTGGTGATTATGTTGAAAGATTATTCAACACATCAATGTTAATTGAAACTAGGGATTGGTGATTAACACTCTTTGGATAAAAATAAATAAATAAAATGGGTAGTCAAGAATAATATACCAAGCTTATATTTTCAACAATATATATATATATATACACAGAAACTTGTATATCACTATAAATATGTACGTATTCTTATGATTGAAATAGAGAATTTCAGTTTCATATTCTAACAAATATAAAGTGTGTTTAGTTTTTTGTTCCCTTTTTAGTGGGAATAGGAGTTTGAATGAAATATATTGTGAAAAATATAATATATTTTTATATGTAATCGCAGAGTTGAATAATAAAAAATTGAATAAGTGCCAAGTTTCCGATGATCAAGGCAAGAATAGCAATTAATTTTTATTTTCCTAAAATATCTTCTATTGTCGCAATTTTTTTTCCATATCATATATACATAAGTTAATGTTTTTCGACGATAATATATAGGTTGATGGGTGGAATGATAGTGATAATCGGGTTATACATTGTGCTATGGGGCAAGGCTACAGAGCATCAAGTGATGAATAACGAAGAAAATGATAGCAGCAGCCAATTGACGAGTGATATAATTTGCAATTGTAGCGAAAATGGTTTGGAAGATCCTCTCTTGTCTAAAAAGGATCCAACAAACTTAGATGTCTGAAATTGAAGATTCCTTGGAATAATTAAGCTAATTGGAGTGAGATCTAGTCGTGTGATCGACTCTTGGATTGTAAGGTTTTTCGATAATAGACTTTTGGGATGTATTGGAGATGCACATATTGGAACTTATTAGTAATTAAATCCTAAACCCAAGATCTGTTGTGTTGAAATAATTGATACAAGAAAATACAATAACAAGTCGGATTTGGATCTGCAAATTAATAAAAGATTTTGTGTTGTTCAAACCTATAACGTAACCCTTACTGAAACTCTTAGGTTTCTGTCATTACTTCCAATATGAGCTAAAAATATGAAAATAATGGATGTTGTGTCTAAATTTGGGATCACAATCCTAATATATTTATATTATCCCTATAATTAATTAACCTCATCACTCACTCAATAATTTTTCGGATTTATGCATATAGGAGACCCGCATTTACTGAATAAATCTTAAGCTTAATAAATTTAATAGATCACTTAATATATGATTAATCTATTTGATAGCCTAAATAGTTATATTTAACCCACAATTGAATTTTTAATCTTACTGCACATACATAGTTTGTTTATCATTTGAGTTTATATTAACACATACAATTTAAATGATTCAACATAATCCCACGTAGTAAATATCAATTAAATTTGCTCGCATATTTCCAATACATTACTGTGTGGGACCGAAACTCACTATCGGAAACTTGACCATTTATAGTGTTGGGTGATTCTCGTAAAATATTAATAAAAAAATTATACATATTCTTACAAGCTTAAACTTTTAGGCAAAATGTGTCATTTAATATCATCTTACATGGTATCATATAGGTCTTGTATTTGAGTCTTACCGTCCTAATCTTACATATCCAACGATGTTCTACAACACACCAATGAAATACCAAATTATAAAATAACAAAATGGTACTTTGTAAAATTACAAGGAATTAGTAATCATCCAACTCATCATTGAAAAAAAAAAGGTACTCTGTAAATTTTTTTAGATCATATACTACTAGGTTTTCAATAAAGTGTTTTATACCTTTGTAAACTTTTTGAGGAAATCATATCCTAATAAGTATTTTATACCATTTGTAACTTTTTCCAAATAATTAAAGCCGCAAACATCTTTTGTATGTGGAATTTTACTAAGTTTCGCATATCATATATGAACCTACATGTACGAAATATTAATTGATATCAAATTTATGATAGAATAGTTGAAGTCACTAGTTGCGGATATTATGTACAAGTATTGTAATGCTATTGATATACAACTTTGTATAATAACGTATGCACATAGTTAGATTTATTGAGAAATATAATACTCCATATAACTAGTTATGTTATAATAGTATTCACATTATAAATGAAATTATATTTATCTTGGAGCATTTTATGATTTTTATAATTTACATTTGAATAATTTTACAATACAACAAGGTAATAAAGTACGAAACTATGCGCTAATAAAATTGTATTTTTTTTCTTTTTTTTGTTATAACTATTTTCAACTTATTTATCATTTATACTCATGTAACGATATATATACATATGTATAATATACACATAAGCATTAAAAAGTACATCTTAATACGTACAAATTATACACCCACAATCACATTTTATTTTAAAAAGAAAAATAAGATTACGAAAAAAGAAATTGTTGGAGTGAACTCTATTCACAATAAGTTATATAGGTACGTATATCTTAAAATTAAGGGATTGAATACAAGTTAAGTTAATTGTTGGGGTGCAAACCCAAATCCCATATTGGAAGTTGTGAAGAAAATTACACACCTTATAAGTCCTAAGTGAACTCCACTAGAATGAGGCTTTTTGGAGGATATCCAAAAATAAATCCATGCGGACTTAGCCCAAAGCGGACAATATCATACTAGTGTTGAGTTGACCCAGTCCTAACAGTGGTATCAGAGCCCCAGGTGATCAATCGATTGCGAAATTGAAAGAAAAATTGATTCGAGTTTGGTAGGACTTGAATCGTGGTAAAAGGCTAAACTCTTCTCTCTTTAATTTCGCTATATTACGATTCTTGGTGAATTTGTGGTTTGATAATATGCTGAAATTCTTTGTGTTGATTGGCTATGCTTACTTGGTGATTGATTGAATAATCTTGGAATTTGTCGGAATTTCTTGTATTTCTTGGTGAATTATTTTTTTTTGGAAATTGTTTTTGATTCCTTGGTTATTTCGAGTGTAGTTTCTTGGGCTATGTTTGTGTTAGTCTTGAGAAATTGAGTTGCTTTAGCCGATCGTTAGATGCATGTTGATATTTCTGTGTGAGATAGAAAATGCATGTTAGGTATTATTTAAAAAATGCCTAAAAATGATTCTAAAGTGGAGGATAATCAAGAATAAAACGATTTTGTTGCATTATGTGTTTCCTTGGTGAAATAATTGAAATGCATGTATTAGATTCTTGATTTGTATGCTATGTGATTGATTTAGTCTTTCCTCTATAGGTTCTTTGTGAAAATAATAAAATGTCAAAGTGTGAAAATTAAATTGCATGTTTCTTGTGGAGAATTAGTTGAAGATATACATGAGATGCTAAAATTAGAACTAATTGTTGAAAGTTAGGAATACTTTGGTGCATGATGTTGTTTGATGTGTGATGAGTTGCATGTATTCCTTGATATCTTTGCGATTTGATTGTTTAGTTGGTATTACGTGGATTGAGTTCCTGATGTGATCCTGCTATGTGGATTGTGATGTAATCCTATTATGTGGATTATCTTGCTGATGTGATCCTGAACTGTTCTATACATTAGATTGTAGCATTGATATTTGGTGATCATGCTTGTTACTTGGATTGCATGTTTTTGTGCTCTAGTTGTTTTTGTTTGATTAAAGCATGTTGTCTCCTTATTTGATTATTTGTGGTTATCGTGCCTGTATATTTGCGCTTAGGTTGTGAGTTCTTTGTGCTTAGGCTGTAGAACTTTGTGCTTAGATTGTAGGACTTAGTGCTTAGACTATTGGACTTTGTGTTTGGGTTGTAGGACTTTATGCTTAGGTTGCAGAACTTCACGCTTAGGCTATAGGACTTTGCGCTTAGGCTGTAGGACTTTATACTTAGGCTGTAGGACTCCGTGCTTAGGTTGTAGGGCTGCATGTTTGAATTGTAGGGCCGTGTACTTAAGTTGTATAGTAGTGTGTCTAAACTATAAAGTAGTATGTCTAAATCCGTAAAGTAGTGTGTTTGAGGCATAGAGTATTGTGTCTAAGTCGTAGAGTAGTGTATCTAAGTTGTAAAGTAGTGTGTCTGAGCTATAGAGTAGTGTGTCTAAGATGGAGAGTTGTGTGTTTGAGCTGTAGAGTTGTGTGTCTAAAACATAGAGTTATGTGACTATGTAGTTTGGTGTGCCCATGCGTTCTCTAGTTGATATCAAATAAGGTGGAGCTCATGTTATGTGATTCTAAGTTTTGTATTCAGTATGTTGTTGCGTTTCATTTGTGAATATGCATGTATGTTGCTGGATTGTGTAGTAGCTTGTTTGCTCGCTTAAAATCTGTAGGTTCATTATGTTGAATCTGTTTAAACTTGCTTGTATGCTTGTTTTCGTAGTAGCTTCTGTATACTACGTGCTAGGTTGTTGAGTGATCAATCTAGGTGCATGTTAGGACTTGTGTGTTCTATGTGCGATATATATATAATTTTTTTCTGCATAACGTTTGTTCGTAGATGCAGCGAGGGACAAAAGGCTATGATGAAATCCATTGGTACTAGGTAAGTCTATATCTAGTAAATACTTATTTGGGATTTCGTTAAATCACGACCAAAATAGGTGAAGATTGTTGGGAATTTTGGCCGTTCGAGGCCTAACTCGACAAGTCCCTCGATAAATAATTAGTTGACCCACTCCGTAGCCCGACCCACTGGATCAACCAAACCCTGCGTGGTCAATTAGAATTCCAAGTTAGGCCTATTTGGTTGTGTTTCTTCTAATTTCCATAATTACCTTGATTAATGCGTTTAATTTCTTTTCGATTCGGTTTTATTTCAATTTGGGTTTATTCGATAATTCACTTTCGCTACTAATTGTTTGTATTTTTGTATACGAGGTTTGTTCGATAAATTCAAAAAAATCCGGGAATAAATTCACAACAGTGGTATCAGAGTCTGGTTAGATGGTTAAGTGGATTGGGTGGCATTGGGCATTGGTTGTGGTGGTGGGCTCGCCCTCGTGACCTGCGGATGTGCCTTGTGTCGAAAGTCTCGTGGCGGTGTTGGGTCGGTCCCGATTAAGGTGGTTAGACAACGGATCCCTTTGTGATAAGCGGTACAAGGTGGGCAGGGAAGATCCATTAGTTGGTCCTTGGTTTAAGGGGAGGATTGTTGGGGTGCAAACCCAAGTTCCACATTGAAAGTTGTGAAGAAAATTACACACCTAAGTCCCAAGTGAACTCCACAAGAATGAGGCCTTTTGAAGGATATCCAAAAATAAATCCGTGCGGGCTCAACCCAAAGCGGACAATATCATACTAGTGTTGAGTTGACCCTGACACTCGTGAAGGCAGCAGTTAGGGTGTTGATTAATTTGATCATGCTAATTCGACTAAATCAACAAACTAACTTAAAGGAATTAGCAAATCATTACACAATATATAATGTGCTATTCAAATATGTATTACATTTTATATCGATATTTTTAATTTTGTTTTATAGGCATTTACTAATTGGGTCAAACCAGCATCATATTGACTTGATCCAATCAACACGATAACGCATTCATAAGATAACCCAATTTGATTAAAATTAAATTTATTTTTAGAGAATTTCTTTCAATGATAGTAAATCAATATCAATTATACAAATTTTATACTCCTTCCGTCCAGCTAAAAAGTATACATGTTTCTATTTTGGGACGTCCAATTACAAAGTAAACATTTCATTAAATACTTTACTTTTTTCCACAAATACCCCTACTTTACATCACATCATTACTTTTACACTAAAAAGCAAGGGCAAAAATGTCATTACAC